CTCTCACGTCGAGGAGTTGGCCCATGTAATAAGCCAACTTCAGGCGTCTGGTCTGTCTATCCATTCGTCGCCCCAGTCACAGACCCATCGCATTCCCCTCCCTCTCTTCCCCTCTATGTTTCCCTTTCCATTCCGAATCCGAATCCCAATTCCAATCCCCAATCCCTCTTCCCGAACCGACAAAACTTCCATTACTCAAACCAGGGGAGCGACGCAACATTTTCCTTTAATTTCCTTTTTTTTTTTTTTCGACGCCAAACTAACTTGCCATGTTCTGCCACAGCGAGCTCCTCTTCATCCGTCCGCCGGTTTTCCGTCCGTCCCTTTGGAGCGGAGCCGGAATATTGTCAGCTTTAAGCCGCCTGTTCGTGCCAACCACCCGCTTTCCACTTTCCACTTTCCGCTTTCCACTTACCACGTGCGGATCCCTCGGCTTTAATGAATACCCGCGGGCCAATGCAAACACAACTGTAACGGCTAACGGGCCATATAAAATGCATTTCGAGTAACAAACTTTAAACACTGCGAACGCGTTCATTTGGGAGCTCCGCGGATGCCCCAAAGGGGGTGGCAGGGATCGGGTTCGGGGTGCCGACGGACCCCTAACGTGACAGTTGTGGGTGAATAGTTCAGCCCGCTCTACCCCCACTTCCCTTGGTGGCAGTCAATTATGGTGGGGGAACAGCCGGATTTATGCGCCATGATTTCACGATTCGAACAAGCGTTTAAAAATTTGGCTAATATGACATTTTTATTTTCTTTAGGTGAATTTTAAATCTTTTTTAGTTAGTAATCGGTGTCATCTTAAACTTAAAAAGTTTGTATAATAAGTGCGAATTGGCTAAACATTTAATGGATAAAATTAAAGTGTTTAAGGCAGATAAATAAAACTCAACGCAATCAGAACAGACAAATATTTTTATTTTGTAATTCATACAAATGAATTCAAAGTTGTTTGTGTGTAAGTTTAAAGTTTAACATAAATTGTAAATAAAGATAAATATCTATGACTAATAAAACCTCTATGCTATTAACAAGTACATATATGTGTTCCAGTAAAACAGTATGTGCAACAGTAAAAATTTTGTAGATATTTAGTGCAATCAAAATTGCTATTAAGAGAGTTTATATTTTAATATAACCATATTGAAAGTCATAGTTGTAATGATTAATAATTTTGCTTTTTTCATTTATACATAATGATGCTTTATAGGGTCAAAAACTGTCACCTAACTTTTTACTTAACTTTTGTTTGAATGTAGTTTGCATGAATGTTGTTAGAGAGATAGCTTTGTTAGGATACCATTCGTTTGATAGCAGGATATTATGGATTGAGGTTAGAAACGGTCTGGGAACCAACAAATCAGTTTTCCCGCCGCATGAACGTGTAATTTTTCTGCTAGGCCTGCCGCAAAGCAAATACAGCATGTTGCCGGGCCTCTGTCGAAGTCGGCTTTATAAGGCCAACCCCTACCGCCCTCCGCCCCTCGGGAGCCAAAGCCATGCAAATAGGAGCCAAATGAGTATTGGAAAGAGGCAGACATGGGGAATATGCCCCAGAAGGGAACAGGGGGGACGGGGCAGATGGGGCGGATGGGAGAATCGCTGCGGTTTACCCTGCCGCCGTGGAAATGACAGACGATGTAAAAGAGTTCATTAATATTGCAAGGTATGCTCACGATGATGATGAGGACAGGTCAGGGGTTAAGGCAAGGAAAGAATGAAAGGAAGGACAACAGCAACGGCAACATCAACAGCAACAACAAACGAGGACAGCGTTTTGACTGTGCGCACAATTATTTTGTAATTTGTCATATTTTGTAGGCCTCAGCTCAACTCAGACAACGTTGCACATTGCACAGGATGGTGGCCCAAGAAACTGGGTGGCAGCAACAGGGGAAATGGAGGACAGGTCACCGCTTCTTTGTCCAAAATTTCAAGTAGCAAAGCCTCGGACTCAAGTGGCTGACGGCCTACTAAACAGGAAATGTGGGGGCTGACAGTGCACTCAAAGTATTATGTGCCCAAAAGTTAACATAACATTTAAATAACGGTTAAATATTAATCAATTCGACCGACAAACCTGTGCAAAAAAACATAAAATTACGAAAGCGTTTTCATCTAATAAAGAAGTTTTCCTAATTTTCAAAGCCAATTTATAGTATTTTTATCTGAAATCTATTTCAGTGTTTAAAGTGTACTCATAAATACGAAATAACTCAAAGTGTGTAATCAATATATTATTTTCCATGAAAAGAAGAATCTATCTAGGGCACTTTTAGGAATTACAAATTCATTGGCCATTAATTATTAAATGCTGTGCTTTGTACAGAAATACAAGTATGTATACAGCAATTCAGATAACTATAATAAATAGTTTCCTGTGTATAAAGGATCTCTTGCCTAACAGCTGCATAATTGTTTGTATTTTACGCTTTACATGAAAGCTGTGCAAATCTTTTGTTACACTGTCTAACATGAAATATTCTCTCATTCTCAATTTCTCTCTGTCTCTCTCTTAGCCGTTTTTTGTTAGCCTTACGCTTTGTGTGCACATTCTAAACATGGCGGCGCCAAACAGTGGCTACCTCAACCTACTTTTGGTTCCCTCGCTGGATACACCGAAAAAATCATAACATTTTGAAATAAATGTGGTTATCGTCCTTTGACAATTAAAATCATAACCAAATTACAATTTACTGTGCAGATTGTTCTGAGCACAAAAACTTTACGTTTTTTCACCATAGCATAAAGACTCTTGTCCACATATGTACATATTTTTCCCATTGAGTTAAAATTGAATGAACAGAAGAAATAGTCAATATTTACATACCAAAGAAAATTCCCATTAAGTAAAATATCCGTTGAGTTTACAATATTTTTTGTGTAGCTGCGACGCCGTTTTTTAGACTTTTGTAGTGCGCCCCCTCCAGTTACTCCCCTTCACCCCGCCCTCGCTAGTTACCCCCTTCACCCCGCCCTCGCTAGTTAGGCCCCTTTTGGTAAGTCAACAGAAAGAGCGGCACAGTCAGTCAGCCAGTCAGCCAGTTTTCTTGCCGCTGTTTTGCTCTGCATGTTTACCTAGCCCGATCCCTTTGCCACCCAGCGTGCCACCCCCTCGGAGCCGCCCCATCATGTGCCGCCCCTCATAATTATACCCTACAAATGAGTGGGCCATAAAGTATTTTGTGCTAGAGCGAGCAAACATTATAAAAACGTGCTATAATATTTAGTACATGTTGCCAGCTTTTTTGCCCATATCGAGCCACACTGCTTTGCTAAGTAAAATAATATTTCACTTTACGATGTAGTTCTTAATGTATACTCTTTTTAAGATAAAGGAAATTATAAACCTTAATGCCTGGTATTCGAAAAAGAAGACTTTAACAGTTTGACGATCAAATAATAAATTTTACTTTTCAGTTAAATATTAAAAAGACTGTTATGCCTCCGATGTTCAAGAAAAGACGTGCTTGCTTACATATGTAAATATAAACATGTATGTAAATATGGTGCCATCTTAATTTTAACATATGTATAAGCATACAATTTGAAATTAATTTTGATATTCCAAAAAGTAGGAATATCATGTGCTCGCCTGAAGCGTTGTTTTACACTATTATATTTAGGCCTGTTTTTTTTTTTTTGGTTTTCATAATTTTGATATGCTGTACTTTCAGCCCACTGCGTTCAGTTTGCCTGCTCGCCCATTTCTTTGGTTGTCCGTTTCTTCTATCATTTCGTGCACATTTTTGTTTGTGTTTGCAGTTGTTTTTGTTGAATTACATGCACACACACACAGAGGGACAAATATTTATTTAAAACTTATGCCCGAGGCCTTTCATTACTGTGCACGGTAAAAATATATATTTCACTCTTCTATTCTGGCTTCCCCCTTCTCCCTTCTCCCGTTTCTCTTTTCACCATTTTGTGTCGGTCTGTTTCTTAGTTCTTGTTACTTTTTTACACTGTGCAAATGTGCGGAATGTTGCTTTGTGCTCATCTTCGCTTTCTTCGCCCGCCCCTTTCTGCAGCATCCTCTTTTAGTGTTTTCTGGATTTTTGGTCCATGGCTATTAAGTGAAAATATTTTGTCCAAGGGGCGGGTCCTTTTATGGTCTTCGCGTACTTAATGTACTTGTAGCCTGCTCCTGTTCCAGATCCTTTCAGATCCGCCACCAGCACCATAGACCAGCACCACCCCCCAATTATGACGTCTAGCGGAGTTTTAATTAGTCTTCGTACTAGTCCCCACTCAAGACCCGCGCCCCGATCCTCCAGCTCCCCTCCGCTTTGTATTGTTTGTGTCCTTGTGTCTGGGCCATTGTCTTGCTCCGAAACGAACAAAATGCATTATGACGTCGCAACAAAATAGCCAAAGTTGTTGAAATTTTTATGGGATTTACTCGGTGAATTATTTTAAAGGAGAGTGCTGAAGGGACGTTCTGCTCCCCGCCAAATGAGGAACAATAAAATGGACAAAAACAGAAGTGGATACTATCTATTGATAAAATAACTTAAGAATTGTAGATGTAGGAGGCACGAAATAAGTTTTCCTTAATACTTGTACATAATGGAAATTAATATTAAAATTTGGGTACTTAAAAAAAAATTAAAACTTAAAAAACAGGTAAACGTACCTTAAGTGCCTAAAACTTTATACATATTTTATTTTTTTTGGTAAGACAAAATAAATTGTGTAAGCATTAAAATAAAATGTAAATTGATTAGCAATATAAATGTAAAATTAAATAAAAATTATATATGTAATTCAAATAAAATTTAGATATACATAAAAGCGACCCAATAGAAACAACGGAATGTTTTATAATTACAAAAAGCTTAAATTACAATTGCCGTCAATAGCTTTTCACATATGCCTCAATCAAAACATCCATTTAACACGCATTAACATAGAGCCGCCACAAAACTCATCATATTTCCCAATATAGCATTATAAATAAATAGATCGTTTTAGTTAAAGTTTCAGTCTGAACTCACCTGTCAAATTTGTTATGCAGAGTTTACATTGAATTACGTTTTGGTAAAACGCTGTTAATTAGTTTGAATGTTTTTCGGGTTGTTTGTTTGTTTTGTGGTTGTTGTTGCACGAGAATGCTTTTGGGCGCCAAAAAGTACAGTCTGTTATTAGCTGTCGAAAATGTTATTTCCCGTTCTCTCTGTCTCTGTCTCACTCACACTCTGGTTGTCTTTTTTACTTTCCTGGGATTTTGAATGCACTTGGCGGCGTTTTTAGATGATGCACTTTATCCGCTGTTATCGGTCAATAATCGAGAAATGACAGGGAGACTTGTGGTAATTTTTCGAAAATTTCTAGGTTTTTCCTTTCGTCGAACTTTGTCGGCTGATTGATGGATGCCAGAAGCGCACACACTGCACAGAAACACACAACTTGACTGAGGGAAATTGCACAAATAACTGAATTGAAATATCCCCCCGCCTCATACACACACACACACACAACAAGGGACAGAGAGCGAGAGAGCAACTGTTGGGAAGCGAGAAGGCATGCTTTGCTTCGCTTATTTTCGTTCAAAAATGTCTTACAAATTTGCTAAAACCCAAAAAATGAGTAGAGAAGCGCGGTGCACTCGAGTGCATTTTAATTGATTTTTTTCCTTATTTTGCCCCGACTTTCACTCACAGCAGGATGGCCTGAATGCTCGCATCTCGCTCGGTTCCACGCAGCGTATGCGTAACATTTCAGTTGCATTTTAGCAAGTTGAGTGAGTCCCCGCTGTTACTGAGTGAGTTGAGTGGGCGATCTCCTGTGGGTCACGCTTTCAGTTGCTCTCCTCCATAATTTTAAGTTTTAATTACCTTTTTGTTTCTGCTGTAATTTCGACAGCAAACAAAAGTTGCTGCTTCGTCAAATTTTTAATTAATTACACGTAGGAGGGAAGCTGAAAAATTGATGGCCACAGGGAGGTTTCTTCGTTTTGGACAAACAATTAGCATTTAACTGTCCCAAAATAACGGAAAAGTGTGGGTTCAAATGGAAGCAAAGTTTACAAAAGTTTTTCAGGGATAGCTTTCTTTTTTTCTAAAGGGGAATAAGCAAAGGACTGAGGTAAGGCATAGACAACTTTTTAATATGAAAATTGCTCGTTTTGGGTCGAGGAACTGTATTGGAGCCTGGGAAATGGTAATCCCTCTTGATTAGTTCAAGTCAAGATCGTATTTAACTTTAACGGAGTAATTCTAAACTGACTGGACATTTTCTAACGCAACTTTTTATATTGTTGATATGGTTGATACAATTTTTAGGTTACCAGTTATTTAAGGGGTTTGATCAATTTTTTCTATATTTAACCAGTTATTGTTACCACATAGCATCTCTCCCATTTGACAGTCGAGTATATTATCTAAAGATAAGATTGATAACAACCCCAACCCGATTTTCAATCTTTTAAATGCAATAAAATTAAAAGTTCCCACTTATATTGTTTCAAATCAAAGGCAAGCTGCAAAGCCGAATTAGACTAGTAAATGGCTCATATTTATCCAACTCAAGCTGGGAGAAAACAGGGTGTCCCAAAATATATATGCACATCCAGGCTTGAGCATGCGCAATTAAGACTCGGGCCAAAGCAACTCACTCAACTGCAGAGCAATAAGAATGCAACACCTACGCCGTGCAAAAAACACACCTGGACAACCTGAAGTAATGCGGCAAACAAAAAGAGAGCCCGGAAAAGGGGTGCGAGTGGGCGGAAGGAGAGATGAGAGCGGGCGGAAAACAAACGTCAGCTGCATGAGAACCCAAAGGCGAGACAATTCCAATTGTGACATTTGCTATTGTTGGCCAGTGTAATGACACACACCTACACGAATGAACACAGCACGGAAAAAGGCTTCAAATATTTATGAATGAAACGATGTATACTTTTCGGGCACACATGCAGGAACTAGTGCAGAGAAAAAAATTATACACCACTACGGATTTTTTCAGCTTACTTTTCTTCATATTGAAGAAAGATAGTGCTCTTATAAAAATAAAATTCTTAAGCTATTACTTCACTTATGAACACGAAAGCCGGTATTCACTTTACTAAATTAAACATTTTATCACAATCTTTCGGGGACCATACTAATATCCATTTACTATTCATCTCGTATTAAAACACAATACTCCATTCTCTCATTACTCAACATCATCTCTCAACATTAAAGCTTTAAGAAATATAACATCTAGAAAATTTGGTTTAAACATGCAGGTTGCAGAGACGACTAAGCATAAAGTCTAAAAACGGTCGCCCTCTTGTTTTACTTGCAATTAGTTGTTTATTTTGAAGTTTATCATATTAATATAGAGAGTGAAAAATTTTTTTTTATTTACTTTATAGTAATTTACTCTGTGCGGATCAGTCTCCTCTTACTTTTACAAGAAGATATATATATAAATTTTTAGTATTTGGACATTTTTCCATCGATGCATGACCAAGGGTAAAAGTCTGTATCCAAATGTCCCTCACAATGAACTCTCGGCCAACGGCCAAAGTAATCGTAGTGGAAAATCCAGAAACCAATACGGATTTAATTGTATCAGAATTATTATGGTCGACCTCATTCGAAGGGCGTTGATGAGCATTGACCACGATCTAGACCGGCAATGAACCTCAAAGAAGTGGAAAGCACCGTCCACAGTTCACAACGCACATGACTAAGCGGACCATCAACCAATTTTAAGGTTAATGACAGTGTTTACGCAAAATAATTGTGAACCCCTGCCGAAAACAGCGGTTAACTAATTTAAATTGATAGCAAAATGGCAATCAGAAAAAGTGAGATGAGTAATCGAGGCGATGGGCCAAAAAGGGCCCAAATAGCTATGTTCTGTTTTGTTTTTCCTTTGTTAACGCTTACTAAGTACGTTTGAAATGCGTTTATAGGCGGATTTCAAAAAATTGCGTATACGCCGCTTGGGTTATGCACGAACGAGCAAACCGAGCAGTCGCTGATGGGCGGCCGATTAAGCTCCATTAAAAAAGAGTTTTGTGCTTTAAAAATTGCAAACATTTGGCGGCGAACTCTATAAAAACAGTTGATGCTGGTGTTTTGCATTCAGTCAACGTTCGAGGATTACACACGACAAACACATCCAGCAAAACCATGTCAGCGACACGGACGAGCAGTTGCCTCTGGTTGGGTTTGGTCCTGGTGGCGACGCTTTTTCAGTTTTCGGAGTGCCAGTATTACGGATACCCCTACTATGGCGGGGCCAGTGCGGGGGCGGGATCGGGGTACGGAAACCTTTACGGCAGCGGCTTGTACGGATACCCATACAGCTACGGCGGATATCCCTACTACTCGTACCCCTACAACCCGTACTCGATGTTCGGGGGAGGCGGGGGATATGGTCAGTACGGGTACCCCTACGGGGGATATCCCTACGGCGGCAGCGGCATGAGTAAGTGATCCACCTCGGTGTTTCGAAGTAACTGCACCCAAATAGTCTACAAGTGTTTTGGACCTGCTTTCTTTTCTAGACGTGGCCTACGCGAGCAGCAGTGGGGGCTTCGCGACAGCCAGTGCGGGCGGAAACGGATACTACGGCTGATGGACGAGTGGTACTCCGAAATAAGCTAGTTTTACTATACACTTTGGTTAAGTTTCCTACTACGTTAGTGTATCAACGCAAATAATGTAATAGTTATTTAAGTCGGAATAAAAATTAAGAGTGATTGCTACTTGACACTTTTTTTAAAAAAAGACACACGCTGTCGTGTCTATTTAAAACAAGACAAACAATTCGGTATATTATATATATCATTTGTATAAAACTCCCAAAAAGAACAAATCAGTATATCCTTAAAAAACCAATTTTGAAAATATTGGTCGTTTGGTCCTTTGGTATTTCAGTATATCGACATCCAAATTTGTAATAAGAGGACAATACGTGTAAGAGAGATAGATGTAACTGAACGAGTTACATTCTTTAATACAACAACCAATTGAATTAATTTAATTGTCAAGTTACCAATTTTATTCAGGATTTTATTTATTACCAGCAATATTAAGGAGGTCAACAGCTTAAGGCTTAATCGATAAAATAACACGAAAATAGTTTTTTAGATATGATTTGTAGAACTTGAACTACTTGATGTTAGATTTTTTTAAACTTTCATGCATAACAGATGCCTCAAAATCCAGCATCGTAAATCAGGCGGAGGAAAAATGACAAGCTTAGCTGCAAATGCTTAAAAACAACAATAAGTACATAATTTTTAAAGTATATTTTATTTAACAATTTAAAAGCATTTTCCTTCAAGTTCATTTTAATGTTCGCGCGCACTCGATACATATCGTCAGTGTTGGGAAGCGTGCGACTCTAAAAGACCACGAATGTATCGGCCTTCCGATAACTCCCGGCCGTTAGCCAAATCCGCAGCCCCTTCCTTTTTGACCAAATAGTCTCGCAAAACACTCAAAACAAAAAACCGTCGCGCGCTCGCATAAATTCCGCCGCCGTCGCTTAAAACTAACACAAAGTAAGGCAAAAATCAAAGCAAATACCGTCAAATTGTTGAATTTAAGGTGAAAAATAGGCAAAATAGCTAGTAATAGTTGAAGGCCAATAGGCGGCAAAAAAAAAAAAATTGCATTGCGTAATTGGGGCCAACAACAATAAATATGACAAAAACAAACCAAACTGGCTGCATTACATTGCGCCTGTGTGTGCGTGTGTATCTACAGCTGAGCAGCAAACTTATTTGTTTCTTTATTTGGCCTCAAAATTAATCTCGTGACATGCCTGTTTTTGGCGTATAAAAAATCAATGTCTTTAACAACCCATGGTACATTATTAAGCACTTGACAAGCAGTGAATAAAGAAAGAGGAAGACACAACAGCAAAAGTATGCTTACGTTAAAAAGTGCTTGCTCCACATTCTCGTCACCTCCCTCACTCCCTGTCATCTCTTTCCCTCTTACTGGGTCTACTCACGCGCACAGTGGGGTGTTTTTTCTTTTGTGTGCCTCTTTTGCACCCCATCCCCACTGTTCTTGTCGCTTAATTTCATAAATCAAGGCAGCGTCAGTTAAAAAACAACAAGAACTACTTTTGCTCGAGACCCCTCTTCAGCCCCTTTTCTATCTTTCTGGTTTCGCCAATGGGAAATTTCCGTAGCCAGCGCACAGTGGAAATGGTTTGCAACAAAACAACATGATCGCAATCTATGTTTTTATAACCCGGCAAACAAGGCTTTGGGCCAAAGCACAACCAATAACAGTCGGCAAACTTTCACAACTTAAACTGTACAACTTTTGCTAAAAAAAGGAACATTTAAAATGTCTATAATGTTTTTTCAATCGCTCTCCTTATGGAGTAGTCGGTATGCTAACAATGGTAGAAAAAAATTAATAATTTAAAGATAAAAAATATATAAAACAAATAAATGTGTATATTCAGCCCCATTCAACATTACTTTTTAATGAATATATCCCACTGTGCGTATTGTAGACAGAACAGCTGATGCTCGTCAAAATGTAGTGTTCTGTTTGTACATAAAAGCGCTTTTGTATGAGCGAGTGTGAGTGGGAAAGAGAACTTAGATATCGATAAAAAGAAAATAACCTAAGCAAAGATAAGTCAATTGTCAAACTGCCCAAGTTTTTTTAGATTCTCTGGCCGGTACGTACAATTTCGCCACGCAGTGTTCCCTTATCTCGGGGGGCGTGTGTCGGGTAGTTCACGTTTGGCTGCTTATCAAAATCACGCGACTCGGCGCGGACCCCCAACGAATTGTCAAGGTTGCTGATAAATGACTAGTAATCAAAAGTTTGTTCGTTTCACTTGCTCGTCGCGCAGATAGCTACATAAGTTGCCACGAGCCGACAACGACGACGAAGACTTTAGCGAGACACCTTATATAATCCGGCAGCGAAGGAGGCAGGCCCCCAAATCCCGACAAGATGTTGCAAATGCTGCGAAGTTCCTCCATCAGATGGTCCAGTCTGCAGCAACCCGGGCTTAAAAAGTATGTTTAAATCGATAATCTTCTAGCGATTTTCAGAGCTTTTACCTGTGCATTAATAAAAAGAAGAGTTATCTAATCTGTTTAATGTTGAGCAAGATAAATCCAAAATAATACACCTTTGTCTTAAAAATTTTTAAAGATATTTTTTTGAACAATAAAACATATACATATTGAAATTCGTTTTTTTTTTTAATTTTTTCCGTTTTCATTACCATTATAACTGTTATATAGAATATTATAATTTACTTTTGAGGGAGTTGTTTACTTAAACACACCAATATTAATAATATAACAATTTTTATGTGCAGTTGCACCCGAAGTCTGGGTTCTGTAATACCGGCCCTAAAACTAAAGGACTTTCCGATCGTAAATGAACCTATCCTGACGTACCGCAAGGACTCGAAGGAGCGCAAGGACCTTGAGCAGGCTCTGAAGGGCACGGCCTCGAGTTGCGAGGAGATCCCAATCGTGATCGGAGGCAAGGAGTACAAAACGTCGGATGTGCGGTACCAGGTTATGCCCCATGACCACCAACACAAGCTGGCCACCTTTTACTATGCCGACAAGAAGCTCATTGAGAAGGCCATTAAAACAGCCGTGGAGACGCAGCCCAAGTGGGACCGCGTGTCCATTGCGGACCGCCTGAAGATCTGGGAGAAGGCAGCTGATCTAATGGCGACGACATACCGCCAGGAACTAAATGCCGCCACCATGTTGGGCCAGTCCAAAACGGCTATACAAGCGGAAATCGATTCTGCAGCGGAGCTGATCGACTTTATTCGGTGAGTTCAGCCATGTAATTAATGCTCAACAAGTGTAAAAGTAATTTGCTGCTTTTAATTTTTGATATTCCAAGTTATAATCCCGACCCAATAGTACTATGGAACAAGATCTATTTATACAAAAATTCTAAGTTAAACTCCATAACATGAAAAACTATGTTTTTTATGAATATGTTATTCATGGGAAGTCCTTGTTTATTGTGTTAAAAAATTTGCAGTTGCTTCCATAATGATAAATCATTTATTTGTTTTATCCCGCAGAATGAATGCCTATTTTTTGAAGGAGGTCACTAAGTATCAGCCCATCAGCGAGGACATTAAGGTCACAAAGAACTCCTTGCGTTATCGTGGCATTGATGGCTTCATCGCCGCTGTCAGCCCCTTTAACTTTACGGCCATTGGCGGCAACTTGTCCTACACGCCAGCGCTGATGGTATACTATTCCTACGACCTAAAACTTCCAATAAATTAACCAACTACCTTTCTCCTTGCAGGGAAATGGTGTGCTGTGGAAGCCTTCGGACACAGCCATGCTCTCCAACTGGCTAATTTTCAAAATTATGCGTGAGGCGGGAGTGCCCGATGGAGTCGTTAACTTTGTGCCGGCCGATGGGCCCGTGTTTGGCGACACGATTACCGCCAGTCCCCACCTGGCCGGCATCAATTTCACCGGCTCTGTGCCGTAAGTAATTGCCAATCTATTGATTTTCCCCATTCAAACCCACTCCTTCCGACAACAGAACCTTTAATCGCCTGTGGAAGCAGGTTGGCAACAACATTGACAACTATGTTAACTTTCCCCGCTTGATTGGTGAATGTGGCGGCAAGAATTTCCACTTTGTGCATGCTTCCGCCGATGTTCAGTCGGTGGTGACATCCACGATACGCTCGGCATTTGAGTACTGCGGTCAGAAGTGTTCCGCCTGCTCGCGCATGTATGTGCCCGAGTCACTGTGGCCACAGGTAACATGAGAATGCATACGATAACTATGAGCAACGTAAACTGATCGATTGAATCCCCTTTTCTGCAGATCAAGGAGGGCTTATTGTGCGAGGCGTCTAAGTTGAAGATCGGAGACGTTCAAGACTTCTGCAGCTTCACGTCTGCTGTGATTGATGACAAAGCATTTAAACGCATTACTGGCTACATTGAGCATGCCAAAAAGTCCTCCAACTTGGAGATTCTCGCCGGCGGCACGTACTCAGACAGCAAGGGGTACTATGTCAACCCGACCATTGTCCTAAGCAAGGATCCCAAGGACCGTATCATGACCGAGGAGATTTTCGGACCCGTGCTGTCGATCTATGTGTACAAGGAGTCGGACTTGCTTGAGACCATGAAGCTGGTGCACACCTCAACCAAGTTCGCTTTAACCGGAGCAGTATTCGGCCAGGACGAGTAAGAAGAGTCTTTGCCGGCGACTTTCTCCATTTCATGCCATTTTGTTACAGGGATTTCGTCAAATGCGCTCTGCAGGAGTTCAAAATGGCCGCTGGAAACTTCTACATTAACGACAAGTCGACTGGGTCCGTGGTGGGCCAGCAGCCTTTCGGCGGCGGTCGAATGTCCGGCACCAATGACAAGGCCGGCGGTCCCCATTATATCCTGCGATGGACCTCTCCCCAGTCCATCAAGGAGACCTTTGTGCCCCTGCGCGACGTCAACTATCCGTACATGAACGAATAAGGAGTATAAAATAGGAAATGAATGGGGAGTGGGCCGATGGTTAGGAGAAGCAAGAAACCCGACAGGAATCTCATATAACTACTAACTATATAAAAATATATAAATGTATTTTGTTGAAATATTTTTAAAACCCATCCCAAACCACTACCCTGGAATACCAACCTAGTTCAGAAGCTACAACTTGTACACACACTCCAAGAATCTCGAAACAACCATGGGAATGCCTCGAAAAAGTTTGTAAATTGATATGCTGATACCTTTCGAACCACAAACACACCGTGACATGGATATTTTAATCGAATACTATGTAATATCATTATTTTTACATACGATTTAAACGCAATGTGATTATTTAATTATATGATTTATAATTACACCCACAACCCGCCTTTTGTTTTAATCTTTAACGATGTTTTGTATTTTGTTGGACCCTTTCCAGTAAGAAACTATATTAATGCGCGTTGATATACACACCTATGTATGTGAAAGCAAACACTTGACAATACATTTGATTACTAAATGTGAAGGATCATAAAGAGATAAATTGAAACCTAGTTACACATAACGTAAGCATCAAATTCATATTAATAAATATTTAAATTTCAAAACAACTCTTTTTTTTACTAGCTCATTGTTTTTTGATAGAAATTGTACTAAGCAGGGGAGAAAATTAAGTTTGAATCGAAAGTGTACTATCGACCTTCACAATAGTCTTCCTCTTATTCTACACAACGTTGCTCCCACGATTGGAAGCACCCTTGGTAATCCTTCGACCTTAGACCGTTCAGTACCTTCGTCACGGTTTTCTTGACCTCCTGTACTACGCCGGAATGATGTATTCCCTTACGGTATGACTTTATTTTAGGGAATAAGAAAAAGTCGCAGGGGGCTATAGGGTGGCTGCGGCAACGTTGGAATGGCCTCCAGGCGCTCCAGGACGCCAACATCGAAGAGTCCAGTCACTGTTCGGCCTTCAGTAACATATTTCGTATGGACAATGCCGCGAATATCGAAAAAAATTATTAACGACATCCTGGCTTTCGTTGCTGATTTTGTCTGCGGGTCTCAGGGTCATATTCAAATATCCAGCAAATTTCATCTCCAGTGACTACTCGACTTATCCAATTGTTGGCCTCGTTCTCAATGCGGGACAACAGATCTTCGCAAATTGATTTTCGCTCGTTTTTTTGTTAATCGGTGGGAAATTTCGGCACCATCTTCACCCAAATTTTTCTTTGTTAATGTTCAATTTATTAGACAACGCACGAATGCTTTGGCTGCGGTCAGACGTGGGGGTTTTAAGGTTCAAACCCCAAAAAAAAAAAAAAAAAACCCAAAAAAGAACGCAGTCTCTGCAGGTCTGCATTTGCAGAGCGGTAAAGTTGAATTGAAACTATTCATTTATAATTGAATAATTTTAGAATAATTAGAAATATATATGAACTGATATAAAGTTAATTCCCGAGATTAACATATAAATTCCAGAGACGAGATTTACACTGAAAAATTTTGTTCAATCGAAAACCCCCCCGATTGAAAATCCAAATCCGTCACTGTGTTTGACATATTAATGACTGCAAGGGTATATAAGCTTCGGCAAGTCAAAGCTAGCTTCCTTTCTTATTAATTTGTACGATTTAGAACTTTGAAGTACCTCTAAGTCACACACATTGTTTCAGGTATATAGAAAGGATATAGAGGATTAGGATATAGAAACGGATTAGTTAAAAAACCACTTGAGGTTTACAAAAAATGTGTGTATTTCATTTCATCTTACTTAAGTGGAACTAAAGTTTGTTTAACTTTTACATATTGAAGTTCTGACGGATTTTACAACAGGCAACCATAAATTGGATATCACCACAAACTAATAAAAAATGTCTTACACACTAGGTGAAATAATAAACCCTTCGTCTGGCAATTCCTTTGTTTTTCGATTTTTAGTAAACCTTTTTAAAATTAAGATTAACAAATTACGATGAAAACAAAATTATTACAATCTAAAAAGGTTCACAAATTTGGCGAAAAGTCCTCCAGCGTAATCCAGACAGATCAGCCAAAGGAAGGGTTTTATACGCAAAATCATAAGTTATATAGGGTGAGAAAAAAAGGATAAAAAGGTAATTATCTCTTGGTCACGGTTTTATTGACCGCCAGTTCGCAGTGAATCACTTCACGTAAAACTTAGGATCTAAAAATAGCGGACTTTATCGAGTCCAATCAAAAGTTTGGAAAGATTTTACATGTTGGCGAAATTATTGCATAAAGAAACTATTCTACATAGTTACTCCGCTTGCTTACTGACTAAACGTATTCGTTAGAATATTGATTATTTCATAGGATGTATGTATAAATCTAGTCAAATTTTATTGAATTGACTCCGGTGTCAATTTGGCCGCCTCGATAGCTGCCGCGCTTCTTCTTGGTCTTTTCGTGTTTGAAGGACTTGCCGCGCGTGTGCTTCAGGTCAAGGTTGGCCCGCTCGCCCCAAGAGCCCGCAGCGTTTTTCTAAAGTGGTTTACGAATAATATAAACATGTTAATTTGTTAACACATCTGCGAGTGTGTGTGTTTGTTTGCGGGTGGGTGGCTTTATCTTAACTAGCTCTAATTGTCGAAGGTGATCTTTTTGTTTGGCTTTGGCGCCGACGAGTCGAAGGACTTGTTGCCAAATCCACCGCCGCGTCCGCCCCCTCGTCCACCGCCACCGCGTCCACCTCCACGGCCGCCACCACCGCGTCCGCCGAAGCCGCCACCACCACCTCCGCGTCCGCCGAAGCCTCCTCCGCCACCTCCGCGTCCGCCGAAACCACCGCCGCCTCCACGTCCGCCACCTCGGCCTCCGCGTCCTCCTCGCTGGTTGTTGTCGAAGCCGCCAAAGCTCTTGCGATCGCCAATCTTCTTGAAGCCACCGCCCTCGCCGCCATCCTCTCCTCTATTCTTGTTGGTCTCCCAGGTGCTGCGATCAGGCCGCCCGGAGAACCCGGTGCCGCCCTTGCCACCGTGCTTTTTGAAGCCATTGTCCTGGAAGGAAGAGAAACGCCGAAGAGGGCAAAACACAAATTAGCAACGATTTGACAGGCAGGCATAAAAATGTTCAGGAAAGTGCCACAAGTGATTTGAGTTTTCTTCGCGGCGCATCTTGCTAATTTGTGTGTCGCCCCCTTCTTAGCCTCTCGGAAAGCCCTCTCCCTTCCCCGCCCGCTGCTCAGCCCTCTCCGCAAACACACACACGCGCGCGACTCAAATCCATTGCAGCACTCACCTTCGCCTCGAAAGACATGTCCTGAACGCGAGAGTCCACTAGCACATCTTCTGTGCGCACCCGCCGGAAGGGCGACCGTCTTCTGCCACTTCCCCCTCCGCTGTTGTTCAACTGATTATTTCGGCCGTTATTGTTGGTGGGTGTGGAGGTAAAACCATTATTCTGCGAACGTCAAGAAATTGAAATATCAACTCTGTTGATAGGATTCGGACAAGGGGAACCAATTCTACGGGGCTGAAGCTCGGAACGCAGACGGAAAATTTGTATTTACACATATTAGGGCATTAATAAGTCGTTGCTTTAAATCAAGTCTAGCAATTTTGTACCCAAAAAAACTCAGAGCTATTCAAAACTGATTTTTTTTTAAAGAACTTTGTGAATGTTTTCAGTTGGAATGTGATTGTTTGCATGGTTCTATTTAATATTAAGAAGTAGAAATTATGATTAGTTAAAAGAAAGCCCAGCTCACCTGCTGTTCTCCCGATTTAACAAAGTTGTTGTACTTCTTGTTGGGAGTGGCCTCGTCCTGGTCGCCACCACTCAGCTTGCGCTTCTGACCAGGCTTCGCTCCGCCATTAGCCACCGGATTGGCCTTCACCTCGCCGGACTCCTCGCCAGAGTCGCTGTCGTCACTGCTGCTTTCCTCCTTCTTGGCGGGAGCAGCCGTCTTCTTGACAGCTGGCTTCACCGCAGGTGTCTCATCGTCACTAGAGTCATCGCTGCTCGAAGAGGCAGCCTTGGCCGGAGCCTTGGGAGCAGCAGCCTTCGCAGGCTTTTCGTCCTCAGAGCTGTCGCTGTCATCCGAAGAATCTTCGGAGTCGGCCTTCTTGGCGGGAGTAGCCTTAGCGACAGGTTTAGCGACCGGCTTCTTGGTGGCTTCCTCTTCATCCGAGTCACTGTCCTCACTGGACGTGTCGGCTTTCTTGGCTTGTGTCGGCTTTGGCGGGGCAGCAGCTTTCTTAGGAGCCTCCTCTTCCGAGGAACTGTCCTCACTGGAAGAAGCGGCCTTTTTGGCAGGTGTTGCCTTCACAGGCGAGGCCTTTGCAGGTATTGCCTTTTTGGGAGCCTCGTCCTCTGAAGAACTGTCCTCACTGGAGCTTTCGGCCTTCTTGGCGGGAGCAGCCTTTGCTGGAGCGGCCACCTTCTTGGGTGGCTCATCTTCCGAGGAGCTGTCTTCACTGGAAGAAGCTGCCTTCTTTGCTGGGGCTGCCTTGACGGGAACCTTTGCTGCGGGCTTCTCATCATCCTCGGAATCGCTATCCTCGCTCGAGGATGCGGCCCTCTTGACCGGTGCAGCCTTGGCTGCTGGCTTCACGGCTGGCTTAGCTTCTTCTTCAGAGCTGCTGTCGTCGCTGCTGGAATCTTTCTTTGTGGCGGGAGCAGTTTTAGCCGGCGTAGCTTTGACAGCGGGCTTATCTTCTTCCTCTGAACTGCTATCCTCACTGCTGGAGGCTGCTTTTTTGGCAGCTGGAGCCGCCTTGGCCGGCGCTGCCTTTGCCACTGGCTTCTGTTCCTCCTCTGAACTGCTGTCCTCACTGCTGGAGGCCGCCTTCTTGGCAGCTGGAGCCGCCTTGGCCTTTGCGACTGGCTTCTGCTCCTCCTCGGAGCTGCTGTCACCGCTGCTAGAGGAAGCTGCGGGCTTGGCGGCCTTGCCGTTTGTCAATGCAGCTGTTGGCTTCTTTGGCGCCGCCTCCTCCTCAGAATCAGAATCGCTGTCGTCGCTGCTGCCCCCCGCGGCTTTCTTGATGGCCGGGATCTTGGTGGAGCTCTTGGTCTGGTAAAACTGCAGAATCTCACTCAGCTTCGGCGTGTTTTTAGCAACGCTGGCCTGTCAATAGGAAATATGGAAATGTTGGTTATAAAACACGTGGTCATAGGGAAGGCTTGAAAAGGCAAGTGGATGGCTCAAAATGAAACTCGTGGACCGATCTGGAATACAAATTGTTTATCTTGTACTGCTTATGCAGACAGCCATAGGTATTTGGTGCATTCGGACCGGACACATTGCACTTGCCGCCGTGCATTAAAACTCACCGCCTTCGTCTTCTGTTGGAAAACCTTGGCCAGGTTCTTGTCCTTTGACTGAAGGTACTCCAGAACGATTGCATCGGCTATCTGTAGCAGGTCCGTCATGTTTGATTAAACTATTTTTCTATATTTTTCGACCACAAGAAATTCCTGGCCTCACGCTCGTTCACACAAAAAAGAATGCTCACACACACGTGTTTTAAGTAATCACAAATATGGCAACGTTTGCCGGTAGCCTGCGGTCTGGCAATCCTGCATTACTTAGTGTTAAAAAGTTACACAACACGTAAAATACAGTAACTACCGGTTTCAAGAAATTCAAAATGTGATAGTATGGCCTGCTTAATAAAACGATGTGAACTGATTAAGAAAACAATTATACATAAATAATTAAAAAAACAAAACAAGTAAATTAATTATAATTTATGAATATAAAAAAAACTATAAAATCGCATTAAATTGGATATAAAACTATTATCTGTACTTCATTAATATCGACAAGATTATAGTTCTGTTATATCTAGACAAATATTTATACTACCAAAATGCATACAGGAGCAAACATACATACATATGTATATTATTATCACTATAATGACGTTAGGTGCTCCAATGTTTCATTTATGTATTTGGAAAATATAGAAATTATATTATTTTTTTGTTAATGAAAAATGTTATTATTTTGAAGTCCCAATCGTAAAACATTTCGCAGATTAGTAGGGATATTTCCGCGTTATTGTTATCAACTTATCAGCTGGGTAAGTTTATTTGCGACAACATTTAAGAAAACTTTTCAAATAACAAACTATTTTCGTGTGACCTTATTTCTAAGGGCTAACCCGGCGGTCCGGGCCCGGTCACACTGCAGGGAACGAAGATAAAATCGTATTTTTGTTTGTTATTCAATTGCGTTGCGTTGGAAGGATCCAGAGAAAAGCTTTTGGATAGAAACACCTCCCTTAACGGGTGCCAAATTTGATCCCTACAGTCATTTCGCACCCGGTAGCGTGAATCCTCCACGGGCCAAGACCATGGAGCCGGTTTCACAGATCCTTCGGCTCAACGACGACTGTCTGGACGAGATTTTCGACCGCCTGCAGGACCTGCCAACCGAAGTGTCCTTTGCCAGGACGTGCCAGCGACTGCGACACATCTGCCTAGCCAAGTGGCGTACAAGCCGTGCCTACGAGCAACTAGATTTGGACAAGTGGCGGGAACTACTGCCGAACTACGAGGATCTGGTATACTTTCTCACCCAGATGCGACCACACGTCAAGGAAATGTGCGTCAGCAGCTGTCTGTGCGCCCTGCTCAAAGATCTTGATGAAATGCAAATCGCGGAACTGCCTCGGGTAACCAGCTTCTACTACGATCCTGAGGACGTCGACTGCTATCCCTCGAACCGAAGCATTCGCAAACTGGCCCAGTTGCTGCCGGGATTGAGAAAGCTACGACTCACCACGCCTATTGATGGGCGGTACCTGTCCCACTTCCAACATCTGCAGGAGTTGCACCTGTACGAGGATCAGCACAAGGCGTATGAGCTGCAGCAGGAATACCTGGATGAGGTGTGCCAGTGAGTGGATATTCTACACGGCTAAAATTTTCGCCGCTCACCTTTCATTTACCCTATAGCAAGCTAGATGACCTTCGGGTTCTAGACATTCGAACATACGATATGATCAGCAAACTGCAGCTGGGAAACTGTGTGCAGAGCCTCAGGAACCTTTCTGTTCTGAAGCTGAACCTGGCCACCTTAAAGCCCATCCTGGGCGCCGTTCTAGAGTTGCCCTCTCTTAGACAACTGGTGGTGCTGCTGGACAACGAGTGGCACATCCCCCCGCTGGTCAGTCCGGATAGTTACGACCACAAGATCCGCGAAGTGAGCGAGTTCTACGAGATTATGGAGCGCAAGGCCAAGGACATTGTGGGCTTCGCCGTGGACGGCTACTACATGCCCCTGGAACCGGGCTGGGATGAGAAGCTGCCCATTTGGACGCACCGGAGGCTGAGGCGCCTGGCCATTTGCAGCTGGACACATCCGGCCGACTACTTGGAGCGCTACACCTGTATGATAGACCTTCAGCTGCTCTGCCTTCGCAACTGGAACGATCTGAGCGACGACACACTCCTCAAATTTGTGGAACTCTGTCCAAGGCTGGAGCATCTGGACGTATCCTATTGCCGCGACCTTACGCCAAAGTTTCTAACCCGCGCATTGAGTGTCCTTAAGCAGCGAGAACCGTACAAACAGAAGCCAGGATCCGGACGGAATCCACCTCTATTGCTCTATTATGAGCTAAGTGGTTTCGAGGATTTCGTGGACAAAGCGGTAGCTATTTAGCGGTCAATTATATTTTTTTCTTTCTAATCCATGTCTCCACACAGAATCTCAAAAGCTCTCCGGAATATCGGGGGTATATTGTTTTCACAGCCGATTTTCCCGTCGACTCGGAACGGGGGCTTAGCTTCGTGGACCGCGGCTACCAATTTGAATTTGACTGCCCTTAAATTTGTGAATATACAAACATAGATATATATAAATATTTATTATTAAAAATTATGTTGCACAAAACCCAACAAATTTGCTTTACTTAACCGTTACTCAGATAACAATTTCAATAGGCGTGTCAACTTATTGAAATCTTTTGGTTTCGATGTTCATAGAGTCGACTCGTCTGATTGGTGCTTCTTTCTATTTGTTACATAATTGAAAACAAATGAAGTAAACGAAACATTTAATTATATTTTACACAACTGATTCATTAAGCGCATTTACCTGGACGTTTATTTTTTTATTGATACTTTTTAGGGATACTTAGCTATAAAATAGCCAGGCGGCAAGAGTATCCTCAACAAAATTGTACTGTGAACGGCAAAAAGAATATCGTCTGCATCAACTTAACTATCAGGTTTAATTTTAACTAAGAGGTATAATGCATTGCAAGGATAAATTCTTTCTAGTTTAGCATAAGTCTAAACAACGTAGAGCATATATCGACACTTTAAAGAATATCTGTTACAACTGCAGATAAGGTATAAATCTAGTTTGCATATTGCCCAGCACTTTGTAAATGGAAAATCCCCAAGTGGTTAAACAACAGTTCAAATGGAAAGTCAGAAAAACAAATGTAAGCGGGCTCAAAAATTTTCAACCGAGGAAGAGTTTTTGCTCATTACTTTAGCGGCCGAACAAAGAAAGATCTTCGAAAACAAAAAAGCTGATGCTGCGACCTGGAAAGAAAAAGAACTGGCCTGGGAAAATCTGGCTACCGTTTATTCGAGCAAGTCTGGAGTAAACCGTTCTGGTCATAGTTTAAGAGCCAAGTACGAGACTTTAAAAAAAAAACTACAAGCCGGGCTTCCGTATGGACAGCCTCCCTCAAAACCAACCATCTTTGAAAAATTAAGCGAAATACTTGGAGATGAAGATTCTGGTGAAGAAAACTCTGACAGCGATTGTAAGTAATGTACGTTTATTATTTTAAAAGGTAATAACTTAACATGCGCAGATCCCATGAATGACATCGAACTTGGTGAGGAAATCTCCGATAAATGTTTTACTTTTAAGTCTGGTAATTCGACATCTTCTGAGGTCAAATTGGTTTTCCCATCCCCGTCGGAAAAGTCACTGCGAAGAAAAAATTATATTAGCAGTTTGTTTCAAAAGGAAAAATTGCTTTTAATACGGGCGCAACGAACTTTCTACGAGCAAGAAAATTTAAGAGCACAGGAAAAGCACCTGGAAGAAATGAAAACTTTAAGTGCGAAGCGGGAGCTTCTTTATCTTGAAATTGCTGAAAAGAGGAGAAAACTTAACATAAATACATAAATGCATTATTTGTTCATGTGTAGTTTGACAGCATTGTTTAACGCTTCAGGAGTCTGTTATACATTAAAAATTTTGCTAATTATTTTGGTAAATGACTGTGCGTATCAATTCACATAAAATATGTAATTTTTATAGTTTTTACAACGGGAAGCAAACTATTTTACAGACACCTACCATTAGGACAAGCTTCACTGTATTCCGTATTCACAGGTTTTTTCGCTGAGAGGGTCACACTGCCCAATGGTCGAATATTTTCACATGTTTATTTACAATTTCATTGTGCAATAATTCTACCGGTTATTGGTTCGGAATTCGAGGACACGATGAGTGAAGGCAAGCCGCAGAATCCAGGCGATGGCATCCGATCCATGCGAAGTACCGGAGTTTTCCGACTGATCAACTTTGAGTTGTACACGAAACCGGTATGGATTCCATAAGATCAAAGGATACCTTTTGGGTCTACATAAGTGTATTTTAAAATTTTCATGCCAGAACAAAATCGTAATGGGTCTTGGATTGACCGCCGTCGCCGGAGTCTTTGGTTACATTGCCTACATGCGATACAAGTACGAAAGTCTGGGTTATTATGTGGCGGTCCAGGAAAACGGACAGGAGAAGTTTGTCAAGAAGAAATCAAATTGGGAGCAGTGAATCCCACTCACGATCTTGGTGGAAACATCTTTATTTACTCGGTAGCACAATTTGGTACATAAATTTGTATTGTTTAGGAGTTACTGTTTGTTTTTGCCAAAAATAGTTAAGAAATCACAATAGTAGAAAAATGTTTTTAACTAGAAACATATTGCGGCAAGTGGGCGCCGCAAAATGAGCGCAGAACAGCAGGAAGGGGACGGACAGGAGGTCTCAATGGAGTGGAGGTGAGAAGAGGTGGTGTATCACAATCACAAGAGCAATTACTCCTCGCATCTCTTATCCTTCCTCTAGTCGTCTTCATAATCGCTATCATCGTGCCCCTAGGCAGACAGCTTAAGAGCCTTAAGCTCGTCCAGGTACTGTGCTTCCATTTTAATCTTGTTCAGTTGGTTCAGCTCCAGGCTCTCGCCCTGACTGCGGCGCACCTTTAGCTTCTTGATGTCCGACAGCTTCTTGGCGACGCTGCGAATCTTGCGATCCTTCTCGCTGACGTTCTGCCCATTGGCCTGCCCCGGTGGACTTTGCTGCTGATCGGCCGCGTTGTCCTGCTGGAACTTGTGTCTGGGAGTGGGCCGCTGCCCCTGCTCCTCTCCAGCGATGGACACTAGCGCCTGCTGGGCATTCGGAGCACTTGGTTCAGACGCCTCAGCCGGGGCAGAGTCCGCTTCGCCGCCGTTCACAACGTTGCCATCCTTTCTTGCGCTCCGGGCCTTGTTCTTGTTGTTACGTTTGTTTCCGTTGGCACCACCTGCAGGCCGAGTAGAAATGCAAACAGCAATTAGCAAACACACAGCCGAGCCTACTTACGGCCGCGTTGCGTTAGTCCCTTATCCTAATGTCATATTAATACAAAATGTGTGAGAAATGGGTGAGAGTAGCTGGCAAGCTGTACCCTAGTAGCGTTTATGCTGGTAGGGCCGATAGCGCCGGTTGGACCGGCTGGTCGAGGAGCCGGTAGTTGCCGGACCCTCGCGCCCGTTGGCCACCACCAGCTGGCACTGAGTCTGCTCGCCACGCCGCATGATCGGGTTGTCCAGGTCGTACTGCCTGTGCCAGAACTTGCGCGTCGCATTACCTGCTGCTGCTGCCGGGGCCAGTCCGGGAATAGTCGGCTGGGGCAGATACTTCTCCGGGTTCTTGCCTTCCTTTAGCAGCCGCAGATGGGGCGGTGTGTAGGCCTTCTTGCTGGCTTCCGGCTGGCTGGACTTGATGCCCTCGTGCTTGGCCTTGGTGATCTTGGGCTCGCTAAACGTTTTGTCCGCGAACTGCTGCCACTCGATGCCCAGAAGCTCTTGGCCCTGCGGCCACATGGTCTCGTGGAGCAGGGCTCCTGAGTAGTGGTACACCTTGAACCTGCATGAGAGTTATAGCTATCATTTCACATTCTACGCCTTGTCTAATCCACTCACCCGTTGCTGATGCGCAGCCTCGGCGCTGTCGTGGCGGTTACGAACCATTCCCCGTTGGGATGCCACTCGAAGACCGTGGTGTCGGCGCACTTGAGGTTCGCCAGCTTCTCGCGTTTGGACACATCCCAAACCTCAACGGCTCCAGGCAGATTGCCGAAGCCAGCGAGCACTATGAGGTTTCCGAACGGATTGAAGTAGGCACAGTTGCGTGGGCCTTCTCCGAAGTCGAAAATTACATCGCACTTGAGGTTGTAGAGGGCCGCCTTTGAGGGCATGAACCCGTACACGACAACAAACTCTGTTGCCTTGGGACTCCACTTGACGCAGTGCACTGGGCCCTCCTTGGAAAGGGGCACGGAACAGGTGTCGCCCTTGGTGGCCATGAAGTGCACCGCCTGGTTGCCATAGTAGGAAGCACCACTCTTATCCACCTCCGTGCTGGTCAGAAGCAGTAGTCCGCTGCCTCGCTTGTTCCACAGCATCTCGACGCGGTCCGCCTGAAAGAAACTCTTGCAAGCGACAGTCTGGTTCTGTCCCAGCGCTGGATACTTGTACAGCTTGCACATGGAAGGTGCGCCCTTGGCGCCCGGCGTGTAGAAAGCAAGAAAAGGTGGGCAGTTGCCCGGACCCAGCGACAGCATACCGCCACGACTGCCTCCGATCTTGCGCGACGTGGAGGCGAAACCCTTGTCAGCTCCCGCTCCGAGGTCGTAGAAGAGCGCCTCACCTCCGACAACCATGGCGAAAATGGACTCGTCCGCTGACCAGGAGGGCTGCCAGTCCGTCTGGTTCTTCTGGACGATGGCGAACACCTCGGCGCCGGTGGCCACCTCGTAGACGAGTAGGTTGGGCGACCCTTCCGGGCGGTCCTTCGTGATGGCATAGTGCTCCCAGGTGCACAGATAGCTGCCACGTGGCGAGAACTGGAGGTAGAAGGCCTTAGGCCTGGGCAAGACGCACTTCACCGGCCAGCTGGCGGTGGTAGCCTTGCTCGTCTCGAGCACCTTGACACCCTGGCCGTTGGAGTATGCGAAGTACCGGCCATCGGCGCTGAAGCAGATCGAGCGGGAGCTCTTCGTCTCTTCGCGGGGCAGGTGGGGCTTGTGCTCGTAGGGCTGCTTGGGGCCCGCTGAGGACCACAACTCTACGGCCACGCTAGAGCGAACTGTGGACGACAAGCATGAAATGGCCTCGATTAGCAGGTGGAAACACGAGGTCGCGCAATTTGGGGCTTCTCTCGCTGCCGTCTGCATGGGAAACGATGCTTTCGATGCCCAACGGGAAGCGGAGCAATCGGGTGACCCTAGGAACCAGGTCTCACCCGGATTATACTCACTGGCAAGGGTAGGAACAACCAGATCCGCAGCTGCAGCCATTGTCTTCCAATCTCACACGCACACACACACGGGAACACGCACTTCGGTGTTGTTGTTTTTGCTGTCTGCCGTGTTCTGCTGCAGTCAGTGTTGGTCAACGGATTTGGGTGCTTGTGGTCACACACGGTTGCCGTGTACGCAGTGTATCGATGAACGATAGTCAACATGCATTGGCGCCACAACGACACGTTTAACAATCAACCAAACCAAACCGAACGTATTTAGAACTGCAACAAAATTTCTGCTCCACGTGAATTTAAAAACATTTTAGTACTAAAATATTTTGGAAAATACATGACAGGAAAATTGAGTGGCGTGAACGAAGGTGTGTTGATCAATTTTATTTTCCGTTAAGTTAATTATGTGTTGGTACGACTTACAGGGAGTTTTGTTAAACAGACCAAATCAGAACGAAAACAACAGTGGGTTTGCCGGCAAGACTTAAAAGAGCCCCAAGTTTTCAATCCTAATTAGTTCCTGTGAGATAGACCTTTTTCAAACAAAGACGCTTAAAGAATTATTGTGTGTACATATGTATGTTGTTTCTAGGATTGTTTGAGGATGCCGCCTTTTTCCAATACAGAAACTGCACTATTTTAAAATACGCATTTAATGATCACTTTAATTTTCGTTTTATAATAAAAATATAAATTTTTTAACTCTTTTTTGACAAGAAGATTTTGGGAATCATTTCAGACAGTTTCATTAAATTTGATTGCTATTAATCCCTTAACAATCTAAACATTTTGCCTCGTCATTCAAGGCATTGGAATATGAAAGTATTTTTGGTCGAACAAAAATATTTATTAGCTTCAATTAATACAGCGATACATTCCTTGCCCAAATATTTTTATGTAAAGAAACTAATGCTATGTAAGTACTGTTTAAAACCAACCAACATATTTGGCAGCTAATTATATGAAAATGTTAGTTATTTTAGGCTGCTAAAACATTTTGTTCAAAAGATTCATATATGGATTGGAAAATGCATATATCGCTTACTTGTAAGTCTTAAACCAATATGGAGTAATTTGAGTTACTAAGGCTTAAATTCGAAACTAATAGAATACCTTTTAACATTGTTAATGGAGCTATTACTAAATAAAAAATGTACCACTTTTTAAATGTTTTTGTATCAGTTATTCGGATTAAGCTAGCAAATCGGGGATTTAAACATTTAACTTATAGATCACACGAGTTTCCGCTTTCAGGTAAGCTGAGCTTTCTGATCTCTTCTTTAGCGGTAGAGCCGCACTTGCTGCTTGAGATCCTGATCGCTGATTCGATCCTGGAGGTTTAACTCCGCCTCCTGTTTACGCAAGAGATCAAAGATGGCTGCTAGCTGCTCCCGCTCGATTCGGCGCTCCTCCTCGATCTGGCTGGGAGTCAGGGTTTTCTCCATCTTGTGCTGAAGCCTCTTGGCCTTTAGCTGGCCCATCAGGTGGTTGTAGTTCTGGCCGGGTCGCTGCTCCTCTAGGAACTCCACTTCACTTTCGGTGGAGTTTTCCTCGTAGGCCTCATCGTCATCGGTTTCCTCTCCCTGGGGCGTTCTCGACTCGAAATCCTCTTCATCACGCGGCTCGTCAGCTCCTAATCCCTCGTCCTCCAATTCCTGACAGTAAAAAAACCAAGGCAGTAACAAAAAGATGCTCTTGTTTTAATACACCTACGGTTTTGCCCTTAAAAAAATTTGCGAAATAGAAGGCGATTAAAACGCACAGGAGCAGAGTTATCAGTGCCACTGAGTAGTGACCTGGTAAACCAAGGAAAAGGACATCCAGTGAAGGCAATATATGTTGCATTATTCTTTTTTCCGTTATTTGTTTTTTTTCCGCTTGTATTGTTTTCTTTTCAGTGCAGTGTGACCGTAGACTGCAAGCAAAAAATCTTAAATTTGAGTGGTCACCACACTGTCGTGCTCTTTTCCAAATTACATTTAAGAATGCCCCCCATAAATACATTATCTAAAATCTTTTTATTACGTGTTTTTGATTAGTTATTATATTATATGGTAGACCAATACAAAGAAAAAAAAAAAAAAACAACTATCAAATCAAAGATATTTTAAATATTTTCTGTTTTTAGAAACTTTAATCTCGAGAAAAATCTTTTAAATTGAACACACTTCAATAAAAATAAATATTTTTAAAAACTATTGACTGATATTCATAGCTGATGTATCCGAGCTCACATCAGCTATGTGGAATGAGGCATCTTCTGCGGGCATATCATCCTCATCGGTGTACAAACGGCGTAAGCGCTCCTTGTACCTTTACCAAAAAGCAAATATTAAAAAAATGGGACGCATGATTTGCTATTTTATCTTACAATTCGCTATCCGGATTATTTGCCTGATTGCGGCACTTATCTAACTTTTTCTCGATAGCTTTAACCTTTTCCCGATCCGGTTGCTGATATTGCTTCACCATAATACGGATTTCTGTCAATCAAAATGTGATAAACATTTTACTCTATACTTTTTTAAATTATCTACTTACTTCTCACGGCGTCTATGAGCCCGGGTAACTTATCCCTGGCGGAAACAAATAGTAAGTCCGTAACATAGCTATCGAGATTCTCTTGCTCTCTGCTCGCAGCGTGAAGAACTGCAGCCAATGCAATCTGGGACGGCGTGTGCAGGAGACACGCATCCGTGTAGAAAGTGGAATCAATAAAGCTTTCAATATGTGGGCGTAACCTCTCAGGATTTTGCATTTTGCTGCGGGTCTAAAAATAGAACTAGTTAAGGATCTGACAAAATAAAATCAAAAACATACTTTTATATCTATTAGGAAACCCTCAATGGGTCTGAACGGATTGTGTATGGTGAGGTAATAGTTGAGTTGTCCAATAAGAAGTAATTCGTTGGATAACACAATATCTGTGGCCTTATTCCTGTCGCCCTTGATATTGTTGACGAATTGGTTGATGGATACGTTGAACTCCTCTACTTTGCAGGCGACAAACACACATGTAGCTCTAAAAAATAAAAATATCAGTATAAAAGAATATTTTATAGCTTCTGAAAATTAAGAATTCCTCAATAGTGAATCTTTGGAAAAATAAAAATCTTACAGAATCTCCTTGGGGTGGTAATCCATCGGTGTGTTGTTCAAATAGAATCTTTTAAAGTAGTGGAAGGCCGTGCCCACCACGCATTTCGGCATCGGGGGATCAAAGCGGCGGCAGAAGTCGAAGAGGTAAATCTCGTACTGCTTCAGCAACAGGCGCTCCTCCGCGGGTGTAAGGAAGTGCTCCTCAAGGTCGCGCCCCTGCGCCTCCGCTTCGTGGTCCTCGACGTACTTGTTGTTCTGCTCCACGCGAAAGGCCATCAGTTGACCCTCGTTGGCGAATGTCCAGGACCTCTTTTGTGAGCTCACGGGATACATTTTGCATATTAATTCGCGTCTTTTGGGAATACAAAATTGGGATGCTCAGAAAGCCGGCATGGTGTGACCGTTTGGAGAACGCAAAAATATACCAGTAAACTTCAAAAAAACATATGGTGAAATTTGGGGGAAATATGAGGGGTACTAACAGCTACATATTAAATACACGTTTCCACTGGGACTGCGCCATTGCATCTTTTGCGATTCGGCGACACTGTTTTTTCCGTACTCTTAGCATAATTTAATTGGAAAATTTAAATTACACGATACCGTCGTCTATCTTAAAAATATTTTATTTTTTTGTATACCCTTAAGCAAATCACAAAATCTGAACTTATCCATTAACGAATGAGAATAGGTAAACTATTAAATTAAAACTCAAAAGTTAAGGCATACTCTTAGGCTTTGTAATGAAGAAGGCAGCAGTTCGAACTGAAAAAAGAAGTTGGGTTTATGGATCCAGTTTACAGCTGTTCGCACGTGCTCTGCATTTATTAACATTTAAGGTGCCTGCAGCATCAATTGGCGCAAAATTGAATTAATATTGTTTTGTTTTTGTTTTTGTGTTGCCTTGCGAAATTAGGTCACTTGAATCGTTGGTAAAGAAAAAGGTATTGTAAAAGTTTCTGGTTCAAATCGCACTTCACTTTCATTATGTATATAAAAGATTAAAATCATTAAATATACATACATAATTTGTACGCTGACTCAGCAGGCGCATTTTTATTATAACTTCATATTTTTGCGAGTAATTTTTGTATCCATGTTAGCTAGTGCCATTTAATAGTTTAGTGTTTTCTAAGCATTTCAGGGGCATGCGTAGAGTACTTTGTATGCAAGAGCTGGCTTCTGTGGCAATAAAATTGCAATTAATTTTTATTGACAACTCTGAACTCTTGGTGGCAGCGTTTTGATGGTTATCTTTAAACGATTTCACTGAGCCAATACTTTTCAACGGATCTACTATATGATCGTTTAGGTTTGAGAAATAAAAAATTTGTCCTTTTAAATTGTGAGATTTTTAGAACATTTCTGTTCATTTTCATTTTTAAGTTTTTTTCTAATAACACTTTTTAACTGATTGGGACATGTTAGCCGTGAAAACTATAAAAAAAATAAAAGAATTTCGGTGACTATTAAACATAACCAGCTTTTCATCATATACAGAATAATAAATTTTGTAAACAAAAAACATATGTATGGGCAGCCAAAAGTTAAATTTAATTTGGGGGGGTGTTTTCGATTTAAAAAAAATACGAATACGAAAAAAACGAACAGTTTCAATTCAATTTTACCGCTCTGCGGCGTTTTTTGGTAGGGGTTTGAACCCCTAAAAATGTTGCCAAGGAGAGCGATAACCTTGTACAACTTTTCAACATCGTTTTTAGTTTTTAAAAATTATTCTTAAAGATTTGACATTTCCTTTTCCCAAACGGATTGTTTTTCGTGAACACTATGGATGCAAAAAAAATAGTAGTTTAGATGTGAATCTTTATTTTTCCATGCTGGCATTGAACCTCTTTATTTGTTTACTTTGCCTGGGAAATTTCTATTTCTGCAGCCATAATGTTTACGTTTAACATTTACCAAAAACTGTCTCAGTTTTGGGGGCAATTCCCTCTTAAAGAGCTAACTGGCTTAGTGATCCCCGGCTGAAAAGTTTATGCGCGTGCGCGACACACAGGCAGAAAGACGCAGAGACAGACGGACGGAGTCGAGATGGATTGCCATCGGTGGGGCTGACTGACTGACAGTCGGTCGGTCCCAGCTTATCGTCAGTTTCTAGTTACGGACACAGAAGGAAGCCCGGCTCTGGGCGTACTTAAAATTCAATTGAATCTTGAATTATTGCATTGAATTTCATTGTTTGTAAATGCTCGCCCGCTGTGTCTGTATCGGATTGTAAACTGATTTCATTTTCTCCCTATGCTATAGATGTATTTATTTTTCTCATTTTATTGAATGCTTCAAGTTCAGCCGTCGTAAATCGTCACAAAATGTTATGATTATTATTGGAGCAGGTATTGTATTACATAAGTTGGGTGGTCTGTGCCCTTTACGGGTCTTAAGCCCCATCAACGTATTAGTGCGCTCTGTCTTCATCCCCTTTTGTCCGGCGCTTTTCCTTCGGTCGGTAGATCTCTATAGACGACACCAATAAAACTCATTGCGAAAGTATCTGCAACAAGCATCTACACCACTGGCCACTTGTACCCCAACGCCCCACTCCGAATCTCCGTGCATAAATGCATTTTAAAGGCATATTGAGCACGCGAGTCGATGTTTCATGCTCAAGATCTCCAGTTCCCCGATCCCGATCCGGATCCCCCATCCTCGAAGTATCCATTTCGCTCGGAGCATTATTTCTGCTTAGCAGCTACTGTTCGCGCGGCTAATTGTGCGTGTGTCGTGCGATTATTCAGCTTTGTATCTCACTTTGCTGCTGCTCTCGGGGGGCGTGTTCCCAAAGACACTCTCCCCAACACACAGACAGACGTAGACCCATCGAATAGACGTGTGAATTGCCATTCGAGAGCTTCGCAGCCAATCAACAGAGTTATGTCTTCGTATATATGTGCACCTCGGAGTGTGAGTAATGGGTAAGTGCAAGTGGAATGAAGTGTTTAAGGTGCATAAATCAGCGAAGATGGGTAGACAACAGCCGATGGGTATATGCATATGACTTTGGCTCTATAATGGCTGTTGCTTTTCAAATGTGGTGTATAATCAATATGTTATGGACTACTAAAGATCGCCTTGAGTTAAAAAAGGTTATTACAAATTTAAGTATCAATTATTTGTACTACAAAGAAAGATATTAGCACACATTTTTAGAGTACAATAAAGAAGGTGTATTTTGTGTTTAATTTCGAATACTTCACATTATTATAATTTTTTACTATATACCATTTGTTTGTTTAAGAAGATATTCATTTTTCCAGAGCTGAAGCGAATTCAAGTTTGGTTCCTAAGTCATTTGTTTTGGCGCGTAGTCCCCTTTCCAGAGTTCGGTTTCTCATTGAGTTGATACAACTTGTGTCATCTGTCTTGGCCTGTCATAATTACATTTATATAGTCAACATCTAGGTAGCCTGACATTTGGAAATATGTCAGCCCGCACTGTTATGTAATGAATAACGCATTGACTGGCCAGGATTTTCTGGTCCCCACTTGATGGATATACACGTAAACACAGACGCCGTGACAGTTGAATTGAAAATACTTATATATCTGTTGATTTGTACCTGTATACCGAACAAATTTCTGCTGTAGATGGTCAGCCTAAAGTTGGTCATGTGTCAATTGAATGGAGCTTTTTACGTCAGCCTCCAGAGAGAGAAGGAAAGAAATTTGTTCCTCGATACAATTGTACATTTAAATGCAACACTTGACCAAAATGCTGCGCTGTTTCCATAATCGATGTAAATTTGTCTCTAGATATTTTTATTTTATTCCTTCTGTTACATTGTGACCATTCCTTAACTGCCTAAGAAAATAAATTATTTAAAAATAGTAAAACAAACAATAAGTCAATAAGGGAACAACACATTAAATTAAAAGTTCTTAAGCTTACAATTTTCATAAACTGAACATAAATAAGGAAAACAAAAATTAACTTACATAGCACATCAAATGATATTATTAAGTAAATTTGGCTAAATTTTATTATATATATAACGTAAATAAACTTATTAAAGTTAAAATTATTTACTGTCATTGAGCTAATGTAATATATAATATTTATGGATTTTGTACATATTTTCACTGGCACCAAAATGTTCAATTTCTTTCTACTTCTTAAATCTTGTCAAGTCGATGGATTTTCAAAGTTCTTCCTAGGTTACAATATTGAAATAATCTCAATTTATGTTTTACATCATACTGAATATCTGTATATATTCTGAATCATTCTTGAAGAATTAAAAATGGAAAGAGATGCAACCGAAGATGTCTTATATAGATTTGCAAAGAAATGATCATCCCGAATATTTGCCCGAAACCCATCGACTTAGTTGATTGATTACTTTGTACATACCCTAACCTTAACTACTTGAAATTGTTTGGCACTCGCGCTCGAATTCTCCGGCGATCCCGAGATGATCTCAGCCTGTCAAGGTTTGAGACCTCACCAGGGTGAGATCAAGGGGCGTGGACTTCCGCACGAAGCTCGGGGACTCCCCCAAACAGTGACTCGTTGCGGCGGGTTCACTCAAGCTGGGGCTGTTGGAGGTGTGGACCAGCGGACTGGGGGATTCGCCCGCGACCTGAAGGACAGGTCGATGGGCTCCTCCAGCTCCGGACTGCTGGCCGTCGGGAAGAGCAGCTCCGCCTTGAACTGGTCCTTGAAGATGGGCAGTTGCGGAACGCCGGCGGCGAGCAGGACGGGCGGCAGGTGGCTGAAGGGGGCGAAGGAGCTGTACAGCGGCTCCGAGTGGCTGCGGAAGATCTCGAGCAGCTCCTGGTGGCGCTGCCGCTGCATGTCCGCATCCGGTTCCGAGGTGGCCGGGAAGGCGGGGTGCCTCAGATCCAACTTGGGCAGGCTGGTGGCGGTCGTCGACGATGGCGTGGGGATCTGACCGCTCAGCACGCTGGTGGCTCCGTCCTCGTTGGGATCCCCGGCGGAGGACGCTCCGGAGTCACTGGGCGTGTTGCTGAGGCGGGACTCGAGCTTCAGTTGCCGCTGGTGGTGGTGGTGGCGGAACTTGGCCGCCTGGAGGAACGAGGGGGAAGCGGCGCCACCCACTCCCGTGCCCACAGCCGCTCCCTCGATCCTGGGCGAAGTTGCGGTGGCCGACTTGATGCAGGGATTGGTCTTGTCCTGGTAGGTCTGCCGCGCCTGGTTGCTGGCCTGCTGCAGCCGTGCCAGTTGCTCCAGACTCGCACTGCTCACCCCGACTCCCGCCCCGCTTCCCGCCGAGCCCCCTCCCCCGACGCCCGTCGCCGTCTGCTGCTCCTGCAGCAGGCAGTGGATCTTGAACCAGTTGGAGCGGCGGCCGTAGCGCGACCCGCTCTTGGACATCCCCACCAGGAGGCACTTGCGCAGCCGGCACGCCTTGCACGCCGTGCGGTTTTTCTTGTTGATCACGCAGTCCCCGTTGTGCTTGCATCCTGCTATCGCCGCGATATTGTTGTACGTGCGACCAAAGAAGGACTGCAAGGAAACAGAAGAATTACAAGAATAGCGTAATCAACAGATTTCAAAATTATTATCTACTCTGAATACTCAGATTCGGACAGTTTCCTTTAAGAGATATCCGTTTAGAACTGCACAATTTCTAATTGAAGTTACATCTTTCAAGGACCTATCCTCCTGAAAAAATGAAAAACTTCTAAACAACCTCTACAAGTTTTTAAATTGTATTGTCTTGTAACCGTTGCTTAAAAAAAATATATTTTTTATAAGGTAATACACAAAAAACCCACGCTATTTTAAACCTTTGTATCTCCTGGATTCACCTCTAAAAAATTAACAATCTTATAAAATTATAAGTTCTGCTTTTAGCTTAAGATGTGGTTGTACAGAGCAACTTTAAATTTATTGGATGGTTGTATCATCTTATCAAATTCCCTTCTGTGTTAAAAATCCTACTCATTAACTTGAATAGCCAATCAATACCCCATCCGTTCAAAAGTGAACCAAATCGATATCAGATAAACCACTTAACACCTCTCCACAGTTGGACTTTCAATCTGCCATTGTTTTCGCTTATTTGCACCTGTCACTGGCCTGCTCCACCTATTGAACTTGCTTCACTTACAAAGTGTGCGTTTATGATTTGGCCAACTACTCGCAAGACAGCTTGAATGGCTAAAAAAAGGGTTCTCTCCGTGATCCATTTACACTACATCAGCTGATGCCCCTTTGTTATGAAGCGATGCCAACTCACGACGGGACGGAGAGCTTGGCCCCAGTTGGTTTTGAAGTTCAAATTTGAGTGGTGTTTGATGGGTGTCTGGGACTTTTGTTTCCGATTGCGCTGACTCATCTAATATGCATGTAATTTTTATTTGATTGACTGCAGTTTACAATTGTGCTCGCCTTGGGGCTTACCTAGCTCTATATACGGACCCGCCCCCTCGCCCTGCGGACTGCTCTGAATTTCGCAGACTTTTCCCATGCCATTTGAAGGTGAGCCTTGTATTGTGTCCGCCGCGCGCACGTATCTACTTATAGTCAATTAAAAATCGATTAATCTACCGAATTGAAATTTAATTACTGTAATAATGTTTACGATTTTGCTTTGTTGAAAAAGTAAAAGCCAAAATCGAGATCATTTCTTGCACATTTTTTACGGAATGTGCGAAATTGAGTCTGTCGAGTTTCTCACAATTGTCGGGATTAAGTTCTATAAAATATCGATTTGGGTTGCTCTATTGGCATAGTGTAAAAACTCACCTTGCAGCCTTCGCATGTAAATGCCCCGAAATGAAAACCAGCCGCCGGCTCGCCGCACACTTTGCACAGCTGGTTCATCTGCAAAGACAGAGGCAAAATGTTAATAATCCATTTAATTTATATTGAAGCTGTCACAGCTTTTTACGAAATTTATGTTGAAATTGCTTGATAATCAAGTGCATCGATTAAAAAGTAATGATTATTGATTGGTGAATTCTTAATCTAACTTTTTGTTTAAACGCGTTCTTATAAGTCCGATTTGAATTACACTTTATGTTTCGAGCCTAAAAACAATATCATTGTATAAAGATTTGCATTTAAAAAGTTTTCTGCTTCTCTTTTGCTTGTGTATCTATGTTTCAATAAAGAAATCCCAAAAAAAAAGACCATGTAGGAAAACTAAGTCGTTTAATTTTGTTCCTAATTATTATGTAATAAAGCCTAACATAAAGAAAAATTTTTTCCAAAATTGTTTCTAAGCTAAATACAATAGTTTAAACTTACAAAAAAGGAGTAGCTTAAAAGACCAAAAAAAAAGGAATTACTGCAAATGCAGTAAGAAATGCCTTCTTGCTTGTTTGTTTATTTCCATGATTTAAAAATACATATATTGGAAAACATTAGTAGTATAATATCATTCTTAACTTTTTTCTCTTTTTCAATTGTACTGTTCATAGAACGTGTTGCTAAAAGGTCTAATTGAAAAAATCCAACTGTGGCGACCTCTTCACGATTGTCCTTGTTATTGACGATGCCTGCTTTCACAGATATTTTCCTCTTGGCTGTGTCTTTGCTGACTCTCGGCTCAGCTGTGAGCAAGACGAGGCCATGGCCATAACAACAACCACAAAAGCCACGCCAAAAAGCTGAAGAAGAACTGCAGCGGCAAAAACAACAACATGCATAACCGATGACCCACTGCGTTTCTCTTTATTTTTATTCTTTTTTTCGGAATTTTGTTTTTTTTTTTATTTCGCTACAGGTCGTGGATAGAAATTGAGGTATGCAGCGACCGGTTTGGGCTTGCACCATCAAAGTTTCGGTCGCGGCAATGTCAGAAGACCCTGCACCTCATCTTCTTCTGGCTCCCTCCCCAACCCCCTCTCCCCTCTCCCCGGGAATCCGTCTCTCTTTCTTTTCCCGGGGAAGACTTCACGTTCACACATCTAATGCAATGTACTGCAGTGACTTGTTTTGCCTGCCCATAAAGCCTGAGGTCAGGCGAAAAAACACAGCGGAGAGCCAATAAAATATTTCCGAAAATCTTGCGTCAACTTTTTAATGAGCGTGAAGAATCTGAGGGAGGTATCAATTTGGTCATGGATATACAATAAAGATTCTTAGAGTCATTCGTGTGCTAATCTGTGTGCGATGGGAGTTTTCGTTGCCAAATCTGTTTTGTGAAAAGTAACTTTTTTTGTGGTTTTCTAAACTTGTATATGCAAGTTAAAAAACTTAAAAACCAAAAATAACCGGTTTGGTATATGCGCCATTTTGAGTATATATAGGCAGAAATTATCACCAGAGCTAATGAAACTTAAATATATTAAATCATCCCGAATGACATAAATGTGTTTGCTTGCAAATTAATATAATCGTATAACTTTTAGTTAGGACATTACAATAAATTCCACAAAACCTAAGCCTAGTTTTGTAAACTTGATAAGTGCTAATAGAGATTCGGTCAACATATTCTAATCGGAACTTTTTGAATAAAACGAGTAAACTTTATCATTACGAGGTGATGACAGTTAATGTAAGTTTTTTCATAAGTCAAAAAAGACAATTATGGTTAAACGGAAATACTGAAATTAAAAACTTCGGAGGTTTAAGTAACAAATCAGCAAATTATCAACAATAAGTTAAATTCTCATTTATTGGTTTTATATTCCAAATTTTATGTGTGCTTTTAAATTAAAACTTTAAAAAATAATGAAAATACTTTGTTTAAATTCAAAATAACTATTTTGTTGCCTAATTACACAAGCTTTTTTTATGTTTCCCATTTTTAATACTTTGAGCCAGAAGATTAAGAAATAATATATTTGGAACTCGTTTCCTAGATGTGTTCGTTATTACTTTTTAATTGTTATTGTGGCTGTTAATACCATTTAACACTGGCACACAAACTTAGATACTTTCCTAAAAAAGTCAATAGAATTGTATATACGTTTTCTTTGTCGAAATCAAGCAGTTGCTGTTCTAAATAGTGCTGTATATCATCTTTAATTCGCAACCTACTATATCTTTTTATGCATGTGATTTGGTAGTTCCTGGTGCGGTTTTAAAGAACCAGAGCTTCCCCAATTCGCCTCGACTTCCTTCGATGGCAGCCAGGTTGAGTGCTCCGCAAAGGTGTCCGAATCTGGAAATTTTCCCGGCCAGGGCTGCCAGTGGCAGGGAGCTGATCCGCGAAACGCGCCCAGCAGGTGGTGGTGCCACAACGTGATGCTGCTTCTGTGATAATGGTTAGCCCCATCCGATCCCCGCCGGCTGGCAAACCCGACGCTGGCCTGCCAATGCCCGGCACTTTGCATATAAACGCTCGCTAATGGACACCAAAGGTGACAGCAGAGCCTTGCTAAATTGGCAAACATTAAATTTGCACCTTCACAGCGAGCGCTCGAGCGAGCGAGCGACCGCAAAGCCGTGACAATTTTCGGCACAGCGGTGCGCTTTTCCAGAAACTAGGAAAATCATCAAGCAGCCGAGATCTCCCATCGCTGACAAAAGCCTCAGAGTCTGAAAGACCCAGAACCGATGCTCGTACTGGAGTTGGAGTGATAATCTGCACTGAATGCGTCCAGAAAATAATGCAACTGAATGGGGGAGTTTTGAAAAAAAAGGATAAATAAAGAACGCGGCCTAGCTTGACTAGAGTTAAAAGAGTTAAAACGGAACAAATAAAATGAATAAGTATAGGTTTAATTTTTCTTGTTGCAAATACCCTAAATAACTTATACTATATAACTTATATACTACCTAATTTTACTAAAGGTGTGGTAATTTGTATTAAAATCCCGGATTAAAGAAGTACTATATGAAATTTTTGCTTGCCAATCCGACTTTTTAGTTTTAACAGATCTCGCCTTTGCTGATCTCCAAAGATAAAGCCAAAGTCTGAAATCATTTCGAGCCTTATTGAGAAACCCGAAAGAAATGCAATCGAACGGCACGCTTGGGCGATAAAGTTGCAGATTTCTATCCGGAGGCGGCATCTCAATCCTTTTAGCATTTTCACGACGGCGACCAAGGCCACTGTTCCCCGTAACTGGATGCATACTTGGGAAAGAGGCTGGTTCTTGAAGCGTCTTTAGTTACCCCTGATTTCATTGAAAAGAAGTCATGAAGGAGGACATAATTCCCATGCCACGAGCTAATTAAAAGCCCTCGAGCCGAGCCCCTGCAGAGGTGAATGTTATCTTGGCATTTATTTGGTTCGATGGGCAGTTTGGGTTGTGGGAAAACAAAGAGCAGAAGAGAGTTGTGCAAGCTCAAATTTGACTCTCCCGTGCCGATTCCTTTCAAATTGAAAACCAGAGCCCCATTGTTCATTTCTGAGTGTATATCGAGCCGAGGAGATCACAACACAGGAACGATTTGGCTGACAGGCTTATCGATTAAGTCAAGATTAATGTTACACATTGAGCTGAACCAGACAATTAATTAGAAACCTAAACTGCTACAGAAATACTTATTGATCGTAAGCCAAGTGGATGATTGTTTAGATCTAATCTCTGGAAATCTACAAAATGTTCTGTGCCTGTCCGAGTTTTGGGGGGAGCCGCTGAACCCGAAGGGGGACAAGTTCAGAGCGGCTTAGACAATAAGAACCAGATCAGTTGGTCGCAGCTACATTCTCAACAAGCTCATCAAGTCCCTGTTGACAGACCTAAAAAAATTGGAGGAAACTGTAGGATTTCTCTCAATAAGAATAATAAACAAGGGCCAAAAAAATGTGTCCTTTAAAGCAAACAAAATGATGGACAATGCCAAATCAGATAAAGGCAACTGAGGGAGAAAAGGTGTTCAAACAAGCAAACCACGATTGTCTCAAATATTTTGAAGCCGCTACAAAATAGAACAAGAATCAAGAACACAGCTCCGTGAACCCCGGAGCATTGACACAATCTGCGGAGCAAACCCTTCTCCGACCCGAATCTCCTCCGATCTCGGCAGACAATTGCCGGTAATATGCTTTATTATTAGCCCTGCCCGCCACTGGAGACGGACATTCGCAATATGCAAATCCACTCAGCAGTCACACGCTCTAGTTTGAATTGTCTGCTTCCGCTAGCCTCTATCCTCTATCCACAATCCTCGATCCTCAATCCTTGGCGATCGAGGATCCACGATCCAGTCGAAACGCTGCCTCTGGCCCTTTTCTGCTTGATTGCCGACAGCAGTTGGACAATTAAATGTTTGAATATCTCCCAACTTTGTCCATTCTCTGCCCCTATTGTAGTAATTTCTTGACACTTATCGCACAAAAGGCAATAACATTATTAATGAGCATGTCAATGAGCTTCCTTTGTCTTCCCTATCAAACTTTTTCTGGTTCTCCTTGGCCGTCCTTAGTGCTAAGTATGAACTCTTGGGAGTTAACGTTTCGAAATAAATACGAATTTCCCCTTATTATGAAATTTTAGCTTTGTCGGAATTTCTTTCAAAATTTTATATTTTTGGTTTCCCCACCATTAAAATTTAAGCTCTTGTTGATTTTAGCTTGTGATTATTCATTATTATTGTTAAGTTTGCTATTTGATATTTTTGAATGGATTTATGATTGATATTTTTAAAATTTTTTTTTTTTTTTAATTACATCTTTACAGTTATTTTGATTTATGTTGTACGTAAAGTGTTGGCCATTTTCGAGATTTAAGTCTTACCTTATTTAGGATGTATATTTCCAAAGCTACATAAATTATTTTCTTTTAAAATATTCACTATTTTGCTGTTGTTTTATTTTATCCAGATTTTAAGTATGTCAGGAATTTTTGATAACTTCACACACTGGGGTATTCTTGCATTAGCATTAATTGACAATATCAGATTTGTTATTCACTTGCCACTATTTAAGCCCGAATTATCGTTGATGATGTAGCGACGGCTTTTCGAGAAAGCGTAGCAATCACGTGGCGCACATAATGCCGAAGAACTTCGCGATCAGTCGGATATAATGCGATTGCGATTGCGAGAGCGAGAGAGCAGCGGAAGCCTGAATTACGGTGCTTGGCAGCGGAGCGTCCACCCGAGACTAAATCGTCGCAGTCGTTCTGAGCGCCAAACAGACTCGGACTGCCAGGTTGGCCCTGGCCTCAAAGATCGTCTCATCCCAGCAGCAACATCTGCAGCGACGGCAGGCAGCAGCAAGCAGCAACATCAACGGCAACAGCAGCAGCTTTGGTACCAGCAGCAGAAAGACAACAAAGCGCACGCGTCTCGAGATTGTGGCTGTGTGCGTGTGTAACAGTGGCAGGGCAAGGCGAAACTTAACTGTTAATCGATCGCCTCGCTGCGGGAAATCCTGTTTGGCGAACAGCTGCTCCGGCCTCTGCTGCGTCGGCCTTCTCTGCCGGCTTCGCGGCCCTGTTACTGCGGTTTGATCTGTAAACTGAACTGCACGCTAGGCCAACCAAAATTCTGTTAAAAAAATGTCCCTCAAAATAAATTAAACAGATCTTCCGTTTTAAAAAATGTTGTCATTATAAATACTCAGATAATCTTATTCTTTTTATAAAAAAGAGTTTCAAAAATATAGATTTTATGAATAAACCTAAACTAATTTTTAGTTGAAAATCAGCGTTCAATGGAAAGTCGATAAAAAACAACGGAAGAAAAGCTTAATGAAAAGTATGCTATTTTATTGCAAGGTAATTTATTTTTTATTTTTACCCCATGGGGTAATAAATCCCCAAAATATAAGATTAAACTAAACACTCTCTGTAAAAACTTCACCTTTGAAATGGTGGCTTTAGTATCATAAGTTTTATTGATATAGTGATTATTACAAGTATTTTCTGTATTCCGACTTGTATGTATAGGGTATGTTTTAGAAAACGAATCAGTTGCTTTTCTTAAAATAAGTTCTCTGTTTTTCTCTATGTGGGCTCTGTTACCGACTTAACATCGAACATGTTCGCAATCTGTTTGCAGTTCGGTGGTTGAGTTTGCCGCAGGCTCGAGACTCTCCGCTCTCTGGAAAAGTTACCGCCGGGCTTCTTCTGAGCGCTGAACTGTGGTTGGCTGTTGGCACCGGCACGATCTCAAAACGTTTCGTTCGTTTTCATTGAATATTGTCTCGATGCGGTTGGCTGTTGGTTGTGTTTTTCTTACCCCCATTTGACTTTACACACGGTACTGTTATCATCCGAGTGTATTGGCTGCGAGAGTGTTGGCTTTGCTTTGTTTTCATTGTGCATGTGCATCCATTTGGACTCGTATTGGACGACTAATGTGGCAAAGAGGTGGGCACTTAATGCCCGGCGATCAGTGTAAATAAACATTGGGAGAAATCAAGTAAACTTCGGAGGGAATTAGTTGCTTGTCCCGCAAAATGAGGGAAACGAGTTTGTCGCCTAAGTCTTTTGTATTTTTTTTAATATTTTAAATATTTTTTTGTTGAAACTCGGAAACTGGAGATGCAATTGAGATGCATTATTTTAGAAATAGAACCAATTTACAAAATATTACTTTTTTAATAAACTACTTTTAACACATTAACAATATTAACAGTTGTTTCCCATCTTAAATATTTTTATGTTTTAAAAAAAAAGCTGATTAATTTATTTTCATTCAATAGGGTTTGCAAATAAATACTTAAGGCTGCTAATATTTCCTTGTTTAAATTGGTTTCCCACCAGCGGCGATTGGCAGTGGAACAATCAACGCGCTTCCATATGTCTAATTGAATTCTCCTGTCATAAGCACGATCAGATGGCTGCCTCCGTGCGCTCAGATGCCCACTCCAGTGATCCTCGGGCACTTGGCCAGTCTTTGTCTCCGTCTCCGTCTCCATCACCACCTTCATCTTCATCTCCATTGCCATCTCCATCTCCGACTTAGAGCCAGACTCTCGGCTTCTGTCACTTGGTGATGATGATGATTTCATTTTAATAACACCACTGGACGGAGAAAAGAGCAGCACGGTGGAGATCATTTAATACTCTGCATTCGCTGCGGCCGTGTCAACACCACTTGACGGAGTAACAAGGAAGCGCAACACTCTAAAACGACGTGTAATTTATCACAGCCAAAAGCATTTAGCCATGAACTGGAACGGAGACTCCGAGTCGGACTCCGACTGCAACTGAGCCTGGCTAGTTTCTTGCCTGTCAGCATAGTTGTCGTCATAATCTGCCAACTGGCGGCGGAGCTCCTGGAGCCGCTGCACTGCAATTTTTGTCGTCATATTAACATTTCTTCTGCTCGTGGGCAAATCTCCCATCTTCCCTCAGCTCTGTCCGAATTTTTAATTAAGTTTAGGCCTTGGCAACGGGCGCGTATCTCGCCAGTTCGCGTGCTCATCTCTCGGTGATGAGTTGGGGCATTAGCTTTGATGGCTGCTCATATTTATTAGAGCGCAATCCTCAGCAAATTGTGGCGATATAGGGAGCAAGGAACTTTGATCTAATTGAATTGAAAAAAATGGTTTAAAAAAATGCTAATATTACATAACTAACCGGTAATAAACATTCTTTATTTAAGTAAAACGTTTCCTGTATTTAACTGTTAAAAAAATATGGGTACATTTTTTATCTGTTTTTAATTTTATGCAGAAGCTTTAATGAAGGTATCATTGTTTTTTAATATTGCTTTCTTGACTGTTATATCGAAAATATTTCTTTTCTTAGTTTTGATAAATGCATAATTTAAATAATATCGACTAACAATTTTAATAGCTGTGTACAACTTTTGAGAAAAACAATATCCAATTGAAATAATTCAAATTAATTATTTATTTAAAAATACAAATAATATTTTTATTAATATTTTTATACCCTAACAGAGCAAAGGGTATTATAATTTCAGTCAGAAGTTTGCCACGCAGTGAAGGAGTATATATATTTTTGATAAAGTAATATATATTCTTGATCTGCATCACGTCCGTCTGTCTGTCTGTCCGTCTGTCCTCCTGTCGGTTTCTATGTAAACTAGTCTCTCAGTTTTAAAGCTATCTTGCTGAAACTTTCCCAGAAGTTTTGTAGTTGTTGCACGCAGCCAACTATATCGCATAGCTCCCACACGAGAAAATGAAATAAAAAATTCTCACACCGTTGTTTTTGATCAGATCGAATTGATTTCTTCCAGATGGCGTTTTCTAACTACAATTGAATTTTAATTTAATTTTCAAAATATGGAGATTTTAAATAACCCTTGAATTAAGAATAGGAAAGATAGAAAAATATATATAGAAATAACCGAAATAAAATTATAACATCGTTGTTTTTCATCAGACAATCATCATTTTTGGAATATAAAGGTTTCTAACGACTTTTGAAATACAAATTAAATTTTATCAAAATCGGACGATTATATTTTGTTCAACATATTTGATGACTGCAAAGGTATATAAGCATCGGCTTGCCGAAGCTAGCTTCTTTTCTTGTTATTGATGACTTTAAGATATAAAGGTCATTTATAATAAAAATAAAAATATAACTAAATGTTAATTTGTTAACCAATACAAGTAAGTAAAATGTAAAGCTCGCCTCTTTTTTCCGCCATGTCTTACTCAAACTATTCAGAGAAAATTTCAATCAGGCCAAACCAAGATTGCCAAACACTTAAACAGGTCTGTTTTGTGCGCTAACATGGCCAAATACAAATTGTCCATGGCCAAAAAAATGACGAAAATCCAAAGAAATCACAGCAAGGCACAAGCAAAAGAGGCGACAAATCTCCCCGAAGCCGACTTTGAGCCGGAATGCCATAGAATCGAAGACATTTGGCGACATACGATCGATGCCAAATCGATCCAGATACAGATACTTTAAATCACAATTTCAATTGAACGAACGCAGGCCAAGCCGGGCCAAAAAAATCGGAAAATCGATCTGCGCACATGTCAAAGGCGGTAGCAAACTCTCCAGCAACAACGCGCGTAGACGCAACAACAGCGGCAATTGCAAAAACAACATCGCCAACAACTGGCAGGCAGCATTTTATTTCAATTTCAATTGATTGTCGTACAATCGCCATGAATAATTCAATTTTTAGAATTGCATTGCATGAAGTCAGATAGAGATAGCTGCTGGACAGGCGATCTGCGCGGGAGAAAGAGAAGGAGAGAGGAACACGGAACATGGACATATTTTTGCCACTGTCTGTTGTTGTAGCTGTAACTTACAGTCTTTCCGCCCCTTCTCCTGGTGCCTTTCCGACCCCCAAGTTGCTGTCAATGTTATTGGCGATATAAGGCAATAAAGAAGATCGGCCATCTTTATAATACTACTAATATATTTGTAACAAATATGTGTATATCTGCATAACAGTAATATTGATTTAAATAATCTGAAATTTAATTTATATTTTATTTCTTATTCAGGTGTTTTAAAAAAACGTTAAAGAGTATTAAACATTGGCATATTTAATAATTGCTTCAACAAAAAACGAACATATCCTATAAATGGTTTTGTAATTCAAATATTATATTGAATTATTTTAGGTCAATCAAATAGTAACTTCTTTTCTCGTCTTTTTTACCAACACTTCAAGCATTCCGAAAAATGTTTTTTAATAGATTAATAAGTCGTTGTCCCGGTAAAACACTTCAAAGGGATTAAAATGAAGGCAGATGCTTTGATTGTGAATTCATTTTAAGGGTTAAAAGAGGAGGGGTGTGTTAGGCGAAATGCATCAAAACATCATCTTGAACCATTAGCAATGTCAGATGCTTTAGCATCCCGTGGAACAGGACCACTTCGTCTGCCATACAACTCCAGCCAAGCAGCGTTGATTAATGAGTTTATTATGCAACAATTATGTATATAAACACTGAGCACTGAATGCGAATACGAATCGGAGTAAGTGTCCCGGATGAGTTTGAATGGTGAGCGTTTCAAGATCACGGATCATGTCAAATTAATGAACTCGCTCCTGGCTCTTGACTTTGACACTTCATAAAGGTGTCGTCGCGAGGGAAGACAAGCAAGGAGTCGGCATCCTGCCAAGGACAATAACCGGACTGCTAATTTTATTTGCCTCACCTTATGCAAGGACAGGCCTCGTCTCCCCAGACATTCCCAGCTCGCATAAATCACACGAAGATGA